TCCTGGTTGCCGAGTTTGTGGGAGTGCACCAACTTGTGCCGTAGATGCAGCACTCTACACTTGTCCACATTGAATCGAAGTAGATTCTGGATTGACCACGCGTATACCCTATCCAGATCAGCTTGGAGCACTGTGATGTCATCTGGTGTATTGATCGCCCTCCACACCTTGATGTTATCGGCATACAGAAGGCAGTTGGAGCTTATGAGATGTGTGATATCGTTAATATACGTCAAGATAATCGCGGCCCTAGTACCGATCCTTGTGGTACTCCGCATTCAACTCGGATGGGATCTGACAGCGATGCGCGCACATGTACTTCGAGGCGCCGGTGCAGAAGAAAGCTTTTGATCCATCCTAGAAGAGAATCACCAAAAGTAAAGAGCTGGGGTTTGAAGAGCAGAATTTGATGGTCTAACCGGTCGAACGTCTTTGAGAAGTCTAAAAAGACTACATCAAATCTTGTAACAGAGTCCACTGCTTCAGTCCAGCTGGATCGTTCTAGTAGTAGATTTGTAGTGCATGATCGAGTTCGTCGGAAGCCATGCTGTTCCGGTGAGAGGTAGTGAAAATCTTCCAAGTAGACCGTTAGCACATCAGAAATAATAGCTTGCATGACTTTTGAAAGAACCGATGGTAAGATTATGGGACGGTAGTTGGCTGGATTGGAACGACTACCTCCCATTGTGAATAAGAGTAATCATCACGAGTTTTCGCATGTACAATTCTCCAAAATAGTGTTGGAAGAATCGATCCAAACGCTCAGCTAAACTCTCTCCTACTGCCGCTAGCGAGTTCGTGTGTATATTATCAACTCGAGGAGAGCTGTGCTTGCGCATACTCAACAACTGTTTTAGTACAGCTTCTGCTGTGAAGGATATGTGAGTGAGTTTACTGGGTGAAACATCCGTTAGCATAGGGTTATGTGGCCAGTGACCGCATTGAAATGTTGCGGCATACTGTAGGCGTAGGGTATTCGCCACCTCTGGTGTCCGTGTGGGTCCATCCGCTGTTTGAAGAGGAGGAATTCCCCGTTTCACCTCATGTAGACTGTTGGCGTGTTGATACAGAAGCTTGTGGTTTGAGGTCACACGCACTGCCAACTTCTGCTGGTACGCCATTCTATCCACGCGAACAAGTTGAGTACAGTGGTTACGCTGGATCGCATAGCCCATCCAGTTCTCGGTGCTTGGAGAGAGTTTGTAGATATGCCAGGCTGATTTTCGCACCGCTATACACTTCCGTGTCCTGCTTCGCAGAAACGAACCATCTTTCTCGGGAGGAAGGTCTTAGTCGCTGACGCTTCGGCAACTAGAGAGTTAAACTGGCTGGCGAAATGTTCCCATGCACTAACTGGTGCCTCGTCTGACAGAAATAACTAGTTTGCTGTCTCACCCAGTCGAGTCAATACGCCATAGCGTAATTATGTTTTCGTTGCGTCAGCAATTTAAACGGGATATGCCGCATAGCAAATGTATTCAGATAGTAGTATTGCTTTATCGCTGCGGCCCAATGGGACGTCGATGATCACCCTATTGACCATTAGTTCTTTGTTGGTGAATATCCGATCCAGTATCGAAGCCTTGGATCGGTGGAACTGTTGATGTGGCCATACATCGGCAAACTGGAGGCAAGCTCTCGTAGATCGGCCTTAAACAGTTCTCCGGGAGCTGCTTTGGATTCCAAGGCGTGGATGTTGAAATCACCAGTAATGAGAATGTGACTAAATTTTGTTTATCACCCTCCTTATTGCGGATGTCAGTGTGTTGCAGAGGACCTCACCACCATCCGAATAATGCGGGTGCGGGGAATCAGGGCCAGCAGCAAGAAAACGATTAAGGGCTGCGATCGCGTTTCGGACCTCAGTCTCTGAAATCAGAAGGTTGATGAAAGAAATGCACACATTCGGTGATCCCAAGAAATACGACTGATGCTGAGTAGATACACGTTATCAATAAGGAACAAACCCACAATATCTTCTGTAAGCAGCGGTCATGCAATAATACTGAAAGCACCAACATATTGAAGTTGACTGTTAAGCTGCTATCGCGCTTTATGCGAAATGAATCGGATTCTGAGAGTTGTGCTGGCCCACCAACGAGCACATACGGCAAGGTAACTACTCGGAGGAGGGGGCTCACTGGCCGCCGTCAACGGCTGTTCAATGACGGTTAGAAGCAGTGGAATAATGGTCCATTTCTACATAGGTACCTAGAATGTCCGAAGAATATCTGAAAACGTCCGGTGCGAGATGATTGAGTAGAGTCCGTAGTCTTCAAGTAGTGTTGATTTTGATCAGAAAGAAAAGAGCCAGCGTTAGGAAATGGCACATTAGTCCAAGTTATCTTCTACTAAGTGGGATGCATTTCGTACAGCGTTCAAATGAAGGTCCTTTGATTCGGCCTTAAAGCAGCCGTCAGTGACCCGTTAGATGTCAGAAAACGTGGACTCTTCGATAAGTTCGGGAACAGATAATAGTCCGAAAGGGCCAGGTCAAGTAAGTATGAGAGATGGTGGATCAACTAAGAACCCAGGGTGTCCAGTTTGCCAATCACAACGTTGGACGTATTCGCGAGTGCATTGCCTTGCAAAACCAGCATCTGCAAGTTAAAGGTTTCACGTGGTTCTGGTGCAATAGTCTCTTGGTTAGTCCAGAATATGGCTAATGATACCATATCCCGAAGGCATGTATTTCACCAGGAAAACGAAAGCCATAACCTTTCTGGCTGATTCCTGGGTTCAGACACCCACTGTGACGCAATTTTTTTGATTGTTCCTTGATTGCAGAATCAAGATAATCATTATCATCATTACACATAAGCTGAGGATGGCAAATACACGTCAACTATTGTGCTGCAATACATAAAGACAAACGAAAAAAACAAGAAGTTGAAAATGATAGAGTGCGAAAAACGGACGACGGACTCCTTAGTAACATATGATGCGCCGAAAGGGAGGTGGAGGTTAGAGGGGAAAGATAAGCGGGATGGGGAGGGACAAAGAAAGTCACAACACATACGTCATTGAGGTCAACTCCTTGTCATGTCAACTAGTGTATCCAGCCAAACGTGCTCACGAGAATTAAGATAGGTAGATACATTTCATTCTCAGTCACGAACCAAGCCACAATGTCCTATAAAGCTTCATAACTAGCAAAATAGCTTTGGCTGCAACAACTCGTTGGTTATGTTAACCTCTCCAAAGACTTCAGCACCCACTTCATTGAAAGTTTGCGCAAATCTAACAGCGGTGATAATCCAACAAGTGCTCCTAAGATGTCTAGTACTGTGAGCTGGGTTCGGTCCCGAAGCCGTTCCACATCGTCCAGATTTCTCTACTATCGTCTATGATCATGACCATGAGGATAAGAGTGGGAAGGTGGCTGAAACCACTGCACTTCGGGTACAATAACCCGGGGTGTCGTAACGAGTCTCCGTCTTAAAGAAGATCATTTACCCAATGATATCAGGTCTGCGCTCTAGCGTACTTACACCATCGCCAAGTTGCGGCTGCTTCACAGCACGCAGACTGGTTCGCAACGACCATCCGAAAGGCGTGTCCGGCAGTGCGGCCTCAAATGTAGTCTACCAGTTCACCTTCAAATACGTCAATGTTTATATAGGCAGGACTGAGCGTAGACTGGCCCTAAGAATGGCGGAACACCACACAAATTGGCTACGGCAAGCGTTGGTGCAACAAAATGGATCAACTGATGCATCGTGCAGTGACCTGGAGATTCCCCCGTCTGACTGTGTAAGTGATCCTAAAATATTCCAAAATTCTAGCTTTCCTATGTATTAGGAAATTAGGTAGCTTGCTTGTTTGAAGTTTATTCGCGTTTGTCTGAGTCACACACACGCAACATTCACATTCGTTTTGCGACCAATCGGACGCGACCTGCTGACTGGCGCTCGTCCTTGCACTCAACACACGTCCGTATCCCCACCTTAGTTCTCCTCTGGTGCCCTATTTTCAGGTTTAGCCATTTTAGCGACCATCCACTAAATCGACCATGCGTTATAATCGTAACGCTGTCTCGTCCAGTGAGACGCGTCTCGTATTGACTCGTCACCACGTGAATCCATCGACAGCGTTCAAAGTACTGTTGCGCGATCGGAATCCAAATAGATTGGCTATCACCGAAACCTTACTTCTTCCGAAGTACCGCACAGTGTTGTGTACACAGAAGCAACTGAAGCAATCTGTTAAATTGCCTTGATTTTGTTCGATCCTTCTGTTCCACTTTGGGTTCCATGTGTTCACTGCAGTTTGATTCCTAATGCGTTCGCGATTGAGGAGAGCAATTGTCGGCCGAGTCGTTTGCACATCTGGTTTGCAACCACGAATCCCCGGTTTGAGTCGGCGTACAGGTGTAGCCGTCCTCGCGGTATACTCAGCCCGCGCGCGACTGGTGGTGGTCGCGCGGCACCGAAACACTGTTACGGCGCACAGCTGATATACTATTCTCTTTTTGTGTACGGTAGTTGAAATGTTAACATGTCACAACTTGTCTTCTTTCTGTGCTTATTAAACATCAGATTCGACGACTACAATCAGCTGTGAACGTTTTCCAAGACATTAAGTGGTCCGTCCTTGCTTGTGGCATTCGTCAAGCGCTACCTCTGCGTTTATTCCTAGCAAACATCAATCTGCGGTCGTCGTCTGGCGATCTCAATGTGTTAGGATGTTAGTTGGATCGATAATTGGTCACTGCTGTAGGCTTTCGTTTTGAAGCTAGCGCAGAAGCAACTATCGTGGAACACCACACTAGTTGAGTTGAACTCAGCTGAACTGTTCGAGCTGAATACGACCAAGACCCACAAAGATATTAAATAGCTGTCCAGGTGGATGCGTTCAAACAGATCCGTGGATACATCACAGATGATGTTTTAACTGCATGACATCAGCCTTCCGGTTCTTCGTGTGTCCTCGAAAAGCTGATGACTGATACCAATGAATCATCATCGTATGGATAATGCGAAAATAAATGCCCGACTCACGGAACATCCATTCCACACACTCGGCCCTGCGAATTCGTAGGATAGATGACCCGCCGATAGTCGCCCATTGCGAAACCTGAGGACGCAGAGACAAGCCGTAAAAAAGGATGACAACCTGATGAGACAATGAGACAAACAGGATCCGCATAGACATGGAAAGTAAAAGCAACACTGTAAGTGGCAGTTCAATTCATCGTTCATTATACACATTACATAGAGGTGGAAAAGATTTCAGCTATTGTGTCGAAAAACATAAGAAATGGAGAAAAAGATGCAACAGAGGCACGCCGGCTGAGTCATCAGTAACGATGGGCACTGTTTCGGAAAGCTAACATCCTTGCTACCGTGACTAAGAAATGAGATTGTGGTTGGAGGGGCAGGCTAAGCGGCAAGGACAAAGAATGCCACAACACAAACGTCACTGAGGTCGGCTCCTAACCACACCAAATGTGTATCCAGCCAAACGTATTCATCGTCTTTCGGGACCAAGGCTGGCAGCCGATAGGCTCTAAAGGAGACCAACTTCGAACTAAGGATCTTCATTCCTTAGTGGTCTTCATTCTTCTTGAACAAGTCATCGCTTGGCCACCCCTGCTCTTCTTTCATCCGCAACCCTGGCGCGCAAATTACACGTCAGGGGAATCCGTGTGCTGCTATGCGCAACATATGGCTCCGTCATCGGAGCTTAGTGCGTGAAATAACGTTGCTGAACGGTTCGCTTCTTCCTGTGCCATCAACAAGGCGTCCAACACGCTCATTGCTCACACGGTGTTCCCACCAGATATAAGCCAAACGGCTAAGGCACCAGTGGTCGAACGTAACTAGTCTCCTTACGCTTACCGATCCAATGGACCAGATTCACAATCGTACAGCAGGTTCGAAATCACGGCTACATCGTACACTATGCCCCTCAAGGAGAGAGTGATGCCGCGCCGGTGCCATAGATGGCGAAGGTTAACAAAAGCGCCTCGTGCTTTTGCCATATGGTTTGTGAACTCGTCTTCAGTTCCAACGGCGCTGATACAACTGCCTTGATAGTTGAACTACTGAACCATTTCTAGCTGATCCCCATCAAGGGTCAACGCAGGAGACAGTTCCTGCCAATCTTGGAGGAAAGCTTTGCACTTCAAGGGTGCGAAGAAACGCCCGTAACGGTTGACAACCAGTGCTAACTCGTCTAGTGCAGCTGGGCACGTTTGGAAGCTGTCACAGATGAGAGCAGGCAGTACAGTTCGGTATGATTTCGAGAACAATGTAGATAGATTTACTATTACCGCATTCTTCACTTTCAGTCAAAACTTCTATCCGGTGTACCGATAAGAGGAAGCGCTGTGAAAGATGGATCAGAAGCGCAGACACCATGATTTTGTTGGGAAAGCCGTAGGGAAACAGAGTCCAGGAAGCCTGCAAAGGCGACTCTTCTGCCGAACATCCTGCTGGGTCCTACCAGCTGTTATTCAATATATATATATATATATATATATATATATATATAATATATATATATATATATATATATATATATATATATATAATTTATTTATTTCTAAGAGGAAGACTAATGAAAACGGACAAAAGCAGAGTAAGAGTGCGAGAAAAAGGCAAACAACGATGAAAGTGAAGGGAATTGAGATCAAGAGACCGAACGCGACAGCGCAGCTGTGGATTCAACCGAAGGGGAACCAAGCAGTGAGGCGAAGAGTCTCGGAGTCCCATTAAACGATGGAGCAGATGACGGTAATCGCGCAAATTTAAGCGTTTATGAGATAAATATAGAGAAGTTGAGCACCATGGAGGTTCCCGGGTCACGGTGCCATATGATCTGGTTTTGCTAGATGAAATGACGCATTCCAAGCTACGCAAGTGGTTCCGAGTTCAGAAAATCACAGTGTAGGTAAGTTTGGTTATTCGATGAAGATCGGAGCTCTGAAGCATGGTCTACCCAGCTTCCAGACACACGTTACTATGATAATCATTAAGAGCCGATAGAAGAAAAAGAGCAAGAGAAAATCCACAGACAATGACTTAGAGGAAAACGAAGTGCCCATCCATTAGAGGGGACGATTAATAGGTGGAAGCCAAAGGCCGAATGCAAGAACGTCATTGGATTCGCAACCGCATGCTGACCGATTCGTGTGAATGCCTTACGTCGGATTTTGGCCTTTGACAATGTATATCTGCGGAGGATAGCTTGAGTGTGGTGGATGAACAATGTGAGCAACGATGAGGTTAGACTTCGCGTCTTGGGTAACACGGGACTTCCACTTGACAGACTGGTACCACTGCGCGAACCGAGATGGCTGGGCCACGTTTTATGAATGCCATGCGAACGGCTGTCAGACGCGCTTACTTCGCTCGAACAAAACCAGACTGGAAGAAATAGAGCGGTGGTCAGCCCACCACGTAGCGACAAACGATTAAAGCGCTGGCTTACAGTATAGCTGATGTAGGTCCCGTGCGTTTTTCGGGTTGGAGGATCAAATATGAAGAACATCGCTGGCTGGAAACTCTTCCGGAGATGGCGCAGAACCGGGCCCAATGAAAAAGGTGTATAAATGTTGTTTTGATGTTCTTGATTTACATCGCAAATATCAAACAAACAAAAAAGGATAAAACGGTGTGCGAAAAAAAACACAAAAGAAAAGGCAAGATACAAAAGCAAAAAACATTTTTGCAATGTTCATTCTTTTCTTTGTGGTCTGTGTATTTATTACTTCCGTTTAATGGATATATATATATATATATATATATATATATATATATATATATATATATATATATATATATATATATATATATATATAGCAACGGCGTCATGTTAAAAAGACTTTTCGGCGATCGATATCGCCGATCCTGCTGATGCCATCAAGGAGGACGCACCCACCAGTCTAAACAGTTCACCATGTGAATATCTGCAAGACATTTAGTCGCATACCTTGTGTCTGTAAGCAACAAGCATAGCACCGGTAAAGCACGCGGTCAAGAGACCCTCTGGGAACTTGACACATAGAACAGACGATTCAGTGTGGCTCCTGAAGGCCGGATGTTAAAGCTTAACTGGCAGAATTCAGTAATGTCCACACCAGGTAGGAGCAATGAAGCGTTGGTATCGGTAGTTTAAGAAACACACGGCCCTTACTGGGTTTCTTGGCAGCACCTTCGACGAGTAGTTTGTTTGTAAGGATTCAGAATGCCAACTCATTCCCAAGACAAAAACTACTGGAACATGTAGAGAAAAAAGTTAACTGTTTAGGAATTTTTAATTCGGTGCTCAGTCAATTCTATGAAAACTGAGTTGTCTGCAATATGTCGAATAAGACATCTCGACTGAAGTGGCTAGGTCATAATCCTCCCCGACCAGTCCGATCATAATGAGCAAATGTAGAAGTACTCATAAGAAATCTATGCCGACAAACTCATTTGAGAACCTCCAGTAGACACACGGTCTTAAGAGCCAGGATAGGGAGTAAAATCTTCGCAACATCCCTCCGCCATAGTCAGTGTTTAAAACAGGTGTGATCATCTGAGCCAAAACTTTACTTTTAAAGAAGACGCCCACACGATACTGCACTTGTGTGGCGAGGTTTGAGAACATGAAGAATTGTACAAAAGCGGCCGAAGTGCTTTCCATCAGAGTGTACACGTAGGGATCACATGAACATGCAGTGTAACAGTGCTCGGCTCAACGGATTTCCAAGCAGTAAGGAGGATAGTTTGGATAAACCAGACATGGCCTGATGTGAGACGAACAACCAAACTTACTCCACAATGTGACGACCAGAAATCCCAAGATGAATATGAAGAACAGAATGCCACATGGAATGTCGGTGCAGGATCTGCAAAGGAAAGAAAGAAAATTAATGCATGGTGTGTAAAACGTTCAGTATAAGTGCTGCTCTGATGCAGGCGAGGTGGAACCACACTCAAATGAATTCCTTTGGAGAGGCAGTATGGTACAGTGCTCAGCGACTTTTAATTGATATAACCTAATTCCAGACGTGCTTGGGCAGGTGTAAGCAGCATATCAATATATTATACGGATGCTTTGCAGCCTTGTAACCAAGAGGTTGTACGAAGGCAGGGATACTACAGGGGCGTCTAGGCCCTTATAAGGGTTGGCGATTCGAACCCAAGAAGCAGGGAATGCAAGTTATACGCCCGAGTTCCAAAACAACGGCTAAAGAAAGTACGCCGGGGGAATAAATGCAAGGAAGTGGATGGCACATTCCCATGCCAATAGGCGACAACAAACAAGGAGGATTCATGGATACCTATGTTAAGGCGCAGCTCATCCAGCTACGGGACGCAGTGAAGTCACATGCCAATGAGGCATCGCGGTGTGATGTTGCGAGCCATTGATCAGAAAGCCCACAATACCGGACAACTTGATCGGTTGGGTAAATGTTGGACTGTCCGATGTGATTCGCTGGCGCTAGCATCCGCTTATCACCCAATCACAGTTAACTAGAGTACTTTCAACTGCCTGTGATCAGTGTTTGCTGAGATCCGCATGTGCTAGCACTAGCAGTAGTAACAAAAGCAATACAACAGTGTGTCTTGCGATTATGCTTCCGTGCCGATACAAGCGGGGAATATCCAAGTGAAGCATCGGAAGCAATATGAGATAAAAAGCATCGTGGAGTTAATAAGCCTTTGCCCAAACGTTCGTGGCGATCTGGGGGAGGATGCGCGATGTAGATGACTGACTGACAAATCTTCATGTGCCTAAAATTTCTAGTACTAAAACATCCCGAGTTAGAACCCAGAGTATGACATGTAAGACCATGTAGGGGGGAACCTGGAAAGTGGTTGGTGACAACGACAGTTATTTCCGCTGTTGCAGCAACCGATTTGGGTCCATGGAGCTGAGCGGACGCGATCGTAGCAACGAATCGTCCAGAATGGAACATCAGCAAGCGAATAGAATAGTAAACACACCAGTAAGTCATTAATGGTTCCCAATGAAAAGCAAGGGCAAAGTTGGACAGTGCGTAGTGGACAAACTGGAATTCACCTTTTTCTGACGGGGCCATCAACGATGTCTTTCGATGAGCCTGAAATGAAAAACGAAAACAG